CCCACCCCCTAGGAGCCTTTCGTAATTTATGGGCTTAAGGAAATTTTGCCACTGCCCTCCCTCATCCTATAGTTTTGGTTGGGATGGCGGCCCCGCTCGATACTGACGTGATCATAATGTTACTCAGGCAGGGCAGAGGAGTAGCAGGAAGGATAGGATGGGGCAGAAGAAGATCGAGATAGAGGAGAAATGGCACCACCCGCCGACTTCCATCTACGAGGACAACTACGGCTACCTGGCCAACTACTACCAACCGATGCTGGACTACATGGACGCCCGCGACCGGGGCGCCCCCCGCGGCGAGTACCCGCACCTCCCGTGGACGAACGAGCGCGGTCGGGACCAATACCGGCCGTCGAACAAGATCCAAAAATACCCGACGGCCGAGCTCAACGCCCTGGCGGTGGAGGCCGAGCGCGCGGCTCAGCGGAACCTCAAACACGTCCCGGTCGGCATCAAGAGCTCCGACTTCGCCAAAATCAAAACCGTCCAGGCGTCGCGCCTCTCCGAGCACATCCGACTCGCCTCCGTCGACAAGGAGATCAAAGACTCCCTCGCCCGAAGGTCCTTACGCACCCGCGCCAACTCCGAGTCCAGAATGGCCGACTACGAGCTCTCGGTTCCCCTCTCCTCCCTGGCCCGCAAGCCCCAGATCCTCCACAACGTCTCCAAGATCAAGTCCATCGCCAGCATCAAGAACCAGTTCCTCTTCGAGACCAACCGGAACCTCAATAAGGACAACGTCGACATCAAAGTCGGCGACTACTGGGGCCGCCAGGGCTACTACGCCGACGAGGCCATCAAGTACCACGGCACCGTCCAGGACAAGCGGTTAGGGTTCACGTCGCAGAACTACGTCACCGACGACGTCAAGTACGTGCGCCCTATCCAGTCGCTCCAGAGGGAGCTCACCGGCTTCGAGAACAAGGCCACGCACCTCTTCGACGAGAATAGGTTAGTCTGGAGCCTGGCCCGCGCCGGGTGTCGGTCGTGCACGTGCTGTCCTCTTTAGTCCTCGGTCGCGCTTTTAGTTTGTGAACCGTGTGCATCGCCCTTTTTGTCTTGTTTCGTAGTGTGCTACACGTCTTGGTTCCCAGGATCCAGGTTTGGTTTTTTCTCTACTTCCTCCTATCCTACAGTCAGGCAGTTCCAATTTGTCGAGGGTTGATCCACTCGCTGGAAAATTGTGATTTTTCCTCTCTCGAATCCTCGACGTCCTCTGAGGATCTTATGTCAATTTCGTGTAAAGTGTATATCTTGCTACGTTGCGAACAAGTGTTTCCGTTAGCTATTTTTGGTGGCTAATCTAAAAGCGGTTGATAAGTTCTCAAGAAGTCAGAGAATTTTTCCCGATCCTGAAAAGTCAGCGAAATTCGCCAGGAAACCTTGAAATTTTCTCTTCCAGCCAAAATATCACGTGTCTCCATTCCTTGATCACTATAAATCATGCCCAATAAACACTGAAAAGTCAGGGAATTTTACGATCCAAGAATAGCCCGTCACCCAGAAAAAGTTAAGGATCTCCCTCCTGAAGTGTCGCAGGTCTGTTGAGAAATTAACAATAATCATTAATAACTAGTCAGCTAAAGTAGAATGACTCTCGTAATAAATTCAGGACCACTTTACGCCAGGTTCTTTTTCTCAGGATTTTTTTTTTTTTTTTTTATTGTTTGTTTGTTTTGTTTTGTTTCGTTGAAAATCTCAGAATTTTCTGAAAGTTCTAAATGTAATGGTTTTTGGATCACGTTAAGGACTAAATTATAACTTCTTGGCAAAATTGGTTTTTTCTGGATTTCATCAACTTAAAAATGATATTTAGATAACTTCCCTCGTAATCCTGTAGCTACAACTTTAAAGATTGACAAAAAACTACCTTATTTTCAAGAACCAATGCTTGGCAAAGGAAAAGTTGGGCATATCATTCAATAAAATACTGACTAAATGCGATAAGATCATCTTATCGAGATATTGTACGGCTCCGGAATTTTGTCGGAGCACTATGGCTTTTAAAAAACTTCCTGTTTGAAAAAGCGAGTCATTCAAACTAATGCAAGGACTATTACACACTTTATCCGAAGACTAAAAATTAATTCCGGTCTAAAGCAATTTTAACTCGCACAGATAATTGGAAAAAAGGATTGTATGCGTTGGGGGGAAATAATACTCAAAGAGCGTTCAGTCTTGGAGGTATCTGTAAAACACCAAATCGACAAATTGGATTCTACCTAACTCTAACATCCAAAGACATTGTCACCCTTTTAATTCTCATCAATTCCTCAGAATAAAAAAAAAAGTTCCACTTTTTAATAAGTGAAGTCTATTCCTTATCGGTGTATTGCAGGGCGTGAGCAGTGTTTTCGGTATCGTAGTCTGTTTCAGTTTCATCCATGTTAGAGATTGGCTGCATGCCACGTCTATTCCTAGTTTTAATTGATAATTTTGCTAATAGTTGTACCAAAAGGGAACAATTTTCTGGCGTGGTGCTCAACGCAAACTTACAAATTAAAACCCGGAATTTGACATTTCGAGTGGTGCGCCGTTGCGTAGATGAACAAAATGTTCGATTAATTACCGTCGCGGAAAATTGACGATTCACTCGTGAATAAATTGCTCAGCTTCAAAAGCAACTTGATTTTGAATATTTCTTTCGAAAAATTTATCGGGTAAAATTTTTGGCCAGAATTGCGTAAATAAAGCGTTAAAGGATGATGATTATCTTCAAAAACAATCTTCGTTTTAAATGTTTACCCCTCGCAAGTGTTGTGTATAACGGATTTTGGAGGATGATGCATCTGCTAAAAAATGCTTGCTAGAAGTAATTGAAGGGTTGAGATTTACTTCCTCCAACACGGAAAGTAGGCTACCCAAGTTCTCAAACTAAGTGCGCCATTGCTCACTCTCTTTTACGAACTTTCGTGTACACACAACTTCGCGTATACCTTCTCTACTTGAATTAGTAGTTCATACACCCAAAACATGGCTTGAATATCACGTCCTTTGGAACGTACAATACATTTAGCATAGGGTTTAAACTTGATGATATGGGTATAGATATTGTTCCGTTTGATTTTTTTTTTCATTTTCAAAGAATTTAGGCTACTTTTCCAACTCTCCCCTCTCATTTTCAAAGCATGTATTTTAAACGTTTTTTCCCCCATCTCAATATGATTCCAAGTCAGTTCATACTGCTGTATATGTTTTAGTGCATGGACTATGTGCTTTCCCGGTTGTCATAAGTTTTATGTACAATAAAGTAAGAAGACCGAAAAGAGATCATTCTGATTTTTATGTCACCAGAAAAACATAATACAGAGTGCATGGGATTTTGTTCCTCCTTGATTGATAAAAAAATTTCTTTTTTCGTGGCAAAGACGACCCGAAATCATTGGCAAACTATGCCGAGATGTTTTTATTCCCGTCAACCTGTCAAATTGTTGAGCCAGTACCTCAATCTGGCAGCTTATGAACTTTTCAACTTTTACAGATAAAATGTGAAAATAAAACCAAACAAACTGGACTCATTGCCGAAATTTTGTATGATTTTTGAACCGTAGATTTTTTGGGTAGAAACTTACGCAGTGTTTAAGGTATCATGAAGCTTGATTTTCGAAGTAACGGTAGAAAAATTAGGTCAGAAACGCGAGGCATTTGCTTTATTTTTTCATTTATTTTTTGAGGCACTTTTTCGTCTGAATGCTTGGGAGAATTAGGGGAAAAGTTTTCAGATGGAGAATAAATTTGCTGGAATAAGTAGAGTTAAAAAAGTGGCTTTAAAGTGATCGAAATTCTTCAAAGGAGCTCCTCTTTCTTGAGCACAGGAAATTTTCTCCTCCCCCTCTTCTCTACAAAAGTTCCTAATTTTGAGGGTGGAGGTTAATGAGATCTAATATTTTTAACTAAGTGATTTGAAAGAATGTTTTTCAACATAGGCAGAACTATGGGAGCCTGGGAAACTGGCCCCTAGACGTCCACTTGACCCCCTTCAGAAAATTGAAGGGATTTTTCCCCCGAAATAAAGTATAACATTTCTGTCGTCTTCAATATCATATTTAAATAAAGTTTTCACTGAGAACAGCTCAAAATTGCTCCTAAGACGTCTCAGTTTTCAAAATTTTCCCGGTGAAACCCTCCGAACCCTCTTTAGGAGCAGAGATAATCTCCACACACCCCCTTTGACGAGGAGCACCTGTGCCCCTTCCTTTAAAAAGAAAATCCAAGTTCTCCCCATTATTTAAAAAATTAGATCGCAAAAAAAGTAATACCCATTGGCGTGCCAAATTTTATTCGCAAGACACTGATTCCTAGTTTTGCCTTTTTTCCCTTTTAGTGTGGGCAAGTTCAACGCAGGGCTGTCACTGTGAAAACCGGGAAATTTTGGGAAATTTTCAAACGTCAGTCGGGGATTGTCAGAGAAAACTACGAAAAGTGTCCGGGAAATATTTTCAAATCCTCTATCGCTCGATTTGTTTTAGTAAAATTTGTTTTCATTTTTCGATTCCGATGGCAACTCTGTGAACGCATCGGCGACCGAGAATACGTTTTTTAAATTTCGCGAGAAATGAGATCTTTATCGGAAGTGACCAAAGTTGGCCGTGGGTGTTTTATTCGAGTGCAGTGCTCCGTTGGACAAAGACAAAAATTAGTTTTGACAGGGCTTAAGTCAAAAATACTGTCACCCCTCTCTCGCGTTAACCTACAATTCTACATGCTACCGGATCGCCCGATGGCTGGCGGTATTTCAAGAATTAATCGGCTCAAATCGTCGCTCCTCTGACGTAAGGGCATATCACGTGAGCCCTGTCTCCCTTATAATTCCATGCTTTCGGGAGCTCACGCGGAAATCGAGATACGCCCTTACGTCGAAGGAGCGACGAAATGAAGAGCTGTCAGTAAACCGTCCGAATTGGCAATCAGTGTTCTGTCACAGTCGTTGACCCAATTTTGGACCTTTCACTGTAATCGCATACCGTGCGAGGAAATAGATTTTTAGCGATTTCAGTTACTTTGTAGCTAATGGATTTCAACGGATTCGCGTGCCTATGGTCGTGTAGAACAGTGGCGTGGCGTGCTTTGCGATATATCGGTTGTTATGCCATTTAAACCTATAGAAAAGGATCGATAAGCAGGGTGTTCGCAGCGAACACCTTAATAATCGATTCTTTACCATAGGTTTAAATAGCATAACAATCGATACATCGCAGTTCATACCACGCCATTGGTAGAAGGAATCGAGGGTTTCTCTTCGAGCATATAAATGTTTAAAGTTTTATGATAATTGCGGTGGCATAGCCAGGGGGTCAAGAGCCTCCATGACCGGAAAATTTCCTCCAAAAAACTCCGTCTTTCGTGTATTTTAGGAATTTTTCTCCTATAGTAGGCTTCCCTCCATGAGAAATAATTGATCGTGAACACCGTCCCTCCTTCATGAAAATTTTGGGATATTCTTCTAGGTGATTTCGTTTCAGACTAATTCCGAGTCGTACCTACATTTCGGTTTTTCATTTTCTGACTTTCAAGGGAATTTTTATCAAAGGATAAGGGGCTCGCTTTTGCATTTTAAATTTCAAAGTAGAATTAGATTATAAACTAGAATGGCATGTGCTTCAACCACGTCGCAAATTTTCTGCTTCTTCTCGATTTTTGTGAATGAGAATCTATGATTTATTCCTCGAGAATCATTTGTACAAATTCTACTCAAAAAAAGTTGACTTTATTTCCTTCGAAAACGTAAAATTTCAGTCAAAATTTAAGAACAATCATTCAAAATTCTTAGTTTGAAATTTCAATGGTCGGTCCATTAAACAACACGTGTTTGATGAGAGTATTGAGAAAAGCAGCAACGAAATAATGTTTTCTGTTCACGAACATTCCTCTGTTCATTTGAGAAAATTTCACTGCTAGTTGTGTGCAAGTGGTAATACTTCAATAGCATGATTGAAAATTTGAATAATATTTCGCCAAATACTCGCTCAATACTCAGATTCATAGTAGACATGTGTTTGCAGTGATGGTTTTAGGGTTCGCAGATGCCTGTGATAAATTTAGGATGGTGACAACAGGTCTTGAATTTTATCCTCAGAAAATGTATTGTCTGTGAAATAGAATTATGAAGTTTTAAGATAAGAATCTTCTAAATAAGTTATCTGCCCTCTTCTTGAGAACGCGTAAAATTATCCTACAGTCTTAAAATCGTGTAATCCTTGTCCGGATCCATGATCATCCAAAGTAATTTTATGGAGCTTTGTTAAATCTCTCCTAAAGTAATGTAGACTTTACTTTGGAGAATGATTAAATTATTCAACATTTCGCAAATTGTTTTTTCCTCTCTGCAGGAAATTCATTTTCTTTTATGTTTTTTTTTTTTTTTTTTTTTTTTTTTTTTAATAAACCATAAAATTAAGTATGCTGAGAATCCGAGTGATTTTCCTCTCACAAAGAAAAATTACAAACCTTCACGAGAAGAATAAAATGTCATATGTATTTCTAGCCTGAACAAAAAAAACAGCATTGTTTTTTCAAAACACAATAACACAGCAAAAGACCTCCGGCAGGTATTATAGCTGCGCAAGTTCAATGTAAAGTTGACATAGACGCCTCCATACAGTTATACCAGCGTACGGATACCCGCACTGCGTTGAAAAATAATTAGGAACACACTAACATTCCGAATTACAATGCCTGGATGTAACTATATCCACTCAATATAGACAAGAAAAAAACACCAAAATGTCTGTATGAACAAAGTGGTAAAATTTTTGTAGTGGTACAACCAAAATTCTTATTGGTGTGGTAAAATTCTTAATTGGCGTATGACGTCTAGCAACTGAATGCAACTATTCCCACTCAATAGATGTCCGTCCTTGTTGCATAGGCTAAAATCTGAAGGCACTCCGTCACACTTTCTCGTGAGCTCATCGTTTCAAGTCACACGGCTCGCGCTACCCTAAAACCTTTACCGCTTCATGAAAAACTGATATAAATTATATCATCGTAATCGATCGTAATCGTAGCATCATAGAAATCGAAGATTTAGTCGGGAAAGCATCTTCCAAAAGTATTAATTCATTTGTCTGTCCTCTTGGACAGAGAGGGAAACTGAATTCTTACTCGCTAGAAAAATTGTCCGAGTCTCAACGTTGGACATCCGGGTCATGATACGTCGCATTTTCGACAACCGGAAGTTCTTGTTATTCTAGCTTTGGCACCCTTCTAAACAGAGTCCGAGTGCCAGGTTAAAGGGTCTAGAAAGATCATGTCTAAAAGCCAAAGTATCAAGTGTCCAAACTATGCAGGAAACCAAAATGTCTGGGACCCCGTTCTTGGCCATTGATTGGAAAACTTTTCAAAAATAATTTAAAAATGAAATTAATTCAAAGTAATTACAATTAAGGGTCAAGTTAATTAACGGTGATGAGCGGGGGTGTGATCTCTTAACCACAAAGCGTAAATTGACAGCAGGGTGCCGCAAAAAATGGATATTGAAAATGTGGAAGGAATGTAGCGTTAAAGAGTCAAAATTAAATGAATTTTATATAATGAATTCGTATCAACTCTAAATTTATGTATCAATTCCCCTTTTTCCATATGATCGTCACGAGAAACCTGTCGCGTGGTAAAATTTCTCGTTTAATTTTTACCGAGAGAGTGAATTATCCTTCTGTGGTTGAAGTTGAACAGTTAAAACTTTTACATTCTTCGATATATCATCAAATTAGTTTGAAATATTTATCTATAGTTTTCAACGGATGTTTTGTCCTTTGACAAACAATTAAGGAACATCTTTATGTTTGCAAATTGTTAGCATTTTAACGCAATTTTTGTAGACCTAATGATCTGACACCTAGTTCCGATTGTCAGGATTAATCACATATCATAACCCGGTCGTCTGACCCTGGGCCAAGGGCTCCTTTTTCGGCGGGGGAGGTATTTGATTTTGTTTTATTTTACCGACAGGAGGTTTCACAGAGTCTGGTGAGGGGAGGTCGTCTTCTTCACAAAATGGAACTATCTCTTCCTGCTTCGGCCGTTAAACCGATGCGAATGGTCCGCCAAAAAGTCCGCTTTTTTCTGACTCCTCGACGCCCGCGAGGACTCATAGCTATCAACGTTATCAACATTGATTCATTGTGTAGGGCGCTTCAAATAATTTGTAGCTTTTTATAGCGAGCAGTTTGCATATCTTTTGTATTGCAATTTTGTAATAAATTGTTCAATTTTACCATCTCTGTGTTTTGATGAGCGTGCATAAAACGACCATGATTATGACCCTGAATTGGGCATCATTGAACAGTCGGGATTTATCTGCATTGAGGGTTGTATTCATAGTGCTCCTGCCCTTCTTGAGGCCCCACATGGTTTACATTGTGATTTGAGGAGGCTCAAAAGTGCCTTCAACCCTTAGATGGGAATACAATTATTTGAACTGTATTAGGCAGAAAGGAACCAAGCCATATATCCGCTAAATTTTATTGAGCAATTTAATTTTTTACATGAAAATGGTTGAGCGGATTTTTGTGCAAATTTCGGTGAATTTTCTGTATAGCAAGAAGCAATTCCTTTAAATCAAATGAATCCGCACAAACGTCATCTCTCGCAAAAAATTAAATTTCCCAGTTAAAGTTGGCAACAGCTGATGTGCCTCGATTCTTTTCTGCTAAACGAGATCCATTTGTCATTGCAAAAAAAGTAAGCCAAAAGACGAAAGATTCTGTGATTTTGACAAACTTTGAGTGTTTGAAATATGCCTCAAAATTTACGAAACCTGCAATGTATTTTATTTCGAATTTGTTGCGACGGCATATGCCATTTTAATCCCCTTAACGATCGATTTTGTCAGTTAAATAGTTGTATTTTACTCAAACCATGTGGAGCCTCATTGAGGAAAGATGCTGTTAGAAAAACTACTATAAATACAGCTCTGAGTATTTCTGAGGACGAGCCTACGTATCTGAAGGGTTGATTTGACTTTAATTTTCTAGTCGTAAGGCTAAATTTTGGGGTAATTCAATGCTTGGAGTCCTCCCTTAAATAAATAATTGAGAGATATTTATGTACAAGAAGGTTAAAATCACCCGAGTGGTTTTGACTAATTAATAAAGTCCTGGGTTGTTTTTGCGTGGTCCTCATTGTAGCATGTCACCCGACTGGATCTGGACCCTCTTTTGGTTTCGTATTCCTTCATTTCTGATGTATGTTACATGTCTCAAATATTTCAGATACGTCTTGTTTTCAAAACTACCTATGTAGATAGACCCGCACTGATTTGACTGAGATTTAGCACATCCAAGCTGGAATTCGTAAATATATCAATCTGTCATGTACATTTTGCAAAAATCACATTCCTACAGGTACACTGGATATGAGTCAGTAATTTTTTCAAGCGTTCACGAAACTTTTTAATTTGAAATCGTCCATGAAAAAAAAAGACGTCATCGTCAAAAAACTGAAATTAAAAGTACCATCGTAGTAGAAAGTGAATTCTTAGTACCATTGCATAGATGAGTGGTTTTCTGGTGTAGTGTAGTCACTACTTTGTAGAATATGATGGGAAGATACCACTGCACACTCTTTCTATTGTTCTGCCATTAAATGTATACGCGATATCAATTTCAAACACATTTTTGGAAACTTGAAGCGAATCAGTGACTCAACCAGTGAACAGTCAAAGTGTTTAGCATTGATAATTTGGTCATGGGCTCATTGATCAGTAAATGCAAGTTTCAAGCAACAAAGCCTTATCAAATCCATCGGATAGCAATCCAACTCGGAAACAAACAGGGTTACTCTAAAAGAATCTACCCAAAATTCAGCATTATCCTCAAGTCTTCAGTCAAGTATTTTAATTTCCGTACTGTCAAAACCATACGAGGAGTATAGAAGCATTCTAATTTTGCCTTTTTCTGATAAAATGCTTATTTTTAAGAGAAATAGGAAATATTTTCCCCGATTTTCAAATAAACTCTTTCGAATAATTTACAGACAAATATTTCCAAGTTTTTCAAACAATTCGTATTTAATGAGAAGAAAGGCAAGATCCGAATGTTAAAACGTCATTTTTCCTCAGATCGGTAGCTAAGGGCTATTTTGAGGGCTCAGACCGAAAATGTGCATGGACTTCAAAATACCTCTAAGCATACATACCTACGTTCTCTTTACAATAAAGAACTACTATTTCTGACTCATTTTAGAAGCAACATACGTGCTAATTGTCTCCAAACGCAGATAAGTGCTTTTAAGGATGAGCCAGAAATAGTGGTCCCTTATCGGAAAGTTCAGTCTATGTGCAGGTTTTTCGGACAAGTTCATTAACCTAATGGATCAGTTACTCACGTCAAAGAAGCGTACTCAATGGTTGAATCATTTGGAAAAGCGAAAAAATAATCAGAGCTAACGGAACGCCAAGTTCATTCCGCCAATATTAGTTGAGATAAGTCCTTCTTCGGACAAAATATCGTGCCATGCAACGTTTTCGAATTTGCCTGAATCTTTAATGTTTGGCAGGAAAACCGTTTGAATAGTTCGTTTGAAAATATTATCAAAATTCTTTGGCAGTACCTATGGAGACAATTGGGTGAGAATTAAGAAATGACAATGATAGGTGAGAAATTTTGGGAGGAAAATTTGGGCAACCTCACATTGCAACTAGTCGTATTTATGCTAAAAGGAATTACTTGCAAAAGGTTTGCGTGCAACATAGTTCCTTGTAGCAAAAATACGTCCAGTTTTGATATTCTCTCCGGAAGATAGAACGATTCACCCCAATGAGATACACACAATAGAAAACGTCAGTGCATAATAATAGCTTGCATCGTTTTAGTTTTACTGGTTCTACTTTTTTAGCAGCCAGTGTAAATTTTGCATCATTAATTGGTGCGACTCAAGTGGAGAAAATATAAGTATTGAGACTGTAAATAACGTCATCAACCACCTTTCTCAAAATGCAATTGCCTCGTCGAGGCTGGACGCAAAAACTTGACGTTTGAACTTAGTTTATTTCTCCTTTTCCAAATTTATAAGGTTCAACCATCAAAATACGATTCAGAGGCACGTGTAAATGATCCATAGAGGTAAACAGGCATTGTCACATTTGAAGGCGCTTCAAACATAGGAATTCTAAAAAAAACTTTGTTAGCTCAATCAAAGACTACATCAACTAAACAGATGACGGTCATCCAAAAGGGGCTACTTGACATAAGTAGTTGGCGAAAACACTGCAATTCACATTTACGCTCAGTTTACTTGTTTCATTTGAGAAGGGCCATTCTGACGCCCCTCTCGATGCGCTTAAAACATCAATTTTCAAAATTTCGTACCATATTAAAGCAAAAGCCTCACGCCACTTTTGCGTTATAATTTGGAATGATGCCTGAATAACTTACTAATGCGCCAAGTCAATGATCCCGTCTGTATGGATATGTATTCAAAATATTTTGTGCAATTTTAAGCAGAACACGTGGGCATTGCTATGGTCGGCCAAACGACAATTTTTCTAAACCATTCGTTAATTAATTAATCTGGGCACGTTCCACGATAACTAAGTTTTTGTCTGAAAAAGTTACCAACATTTTCACTAAGCATCTTTTTGACATAGGCAGCTAGTCCATACGCTGAAAACCNNNNGGGGGGGGGGGGGGTGTTATGTTTGTAGGATGGTTCCCTGAAATTTTCTGGGAAAGGCTCTTGCCTTTCGCAGGAATTGATGAGGTGGAACGCAACAATATCAGTTCGTTTGATCTATACCTATAAATTTTCTTCAAAAGTGTATAAAAAAATCTCAAAATTACGAAAATACAACTTAAGTATCGACCATAGAGCCTCGTTTTCAGGTCCCACTTAATCCCCAAAGTCGTAAATCTATAGTCGTCTAAAAGAACGGAATATTCTGCATGCGTCCTTTGAAAATGATTGCACAGACGCATCATAATATCTTAGCCTCAATCGGGCAGAATTTAACGGGTTTGGAAGACATCCAAACTGGTGAATCGTTTCGCGTGCGTCTGTTCTGCCGACGATTGCAACTCACTAGAAAAGGGTCTAATGCACTAACACCACTTCTGGTGCGCTCGCAAGTAAAATATTGCAGTTTAAAGTTAAGGTTGATTTAATCCTAAAACGTCACTTTCCATTGATGCCGGTGTTAAGGGAAAAACATGCATCCATGTATTTCACTTTCAACTTGAAATCCAAAGACGAATGACAATAGACAGCAAGCTTGTAAGCGTCGCACAGTGTGTCAAAACCCCAATCTAGCTGCTCAAAACCTCTTCACGTCTCTAAATTTGGTCGGATAACCACCAAATTTCGCACAGGCATTAGTGTAAGCTTGAAGAAGGTTCACCTAAAACTTCAAAACTTAGTCATCAAAATTTTCAAAATGGCGGTCATCTAAAAATCCTGTTCAACTCATGTAAAAATCGTAAAATTCCAACTAAGTTTTAGGCGCCTTATGTGACCTGATGAACCCCAAAAATTAGTCAAATTGTGTTTTTCGATCGAAAATAAGTCCTGGAAGATGTCTTGGGCTTATGCATTCCACTTCAAAATGGCGAATTTCTCATTTGGCCATCCAAAGAAATATGAATTCCATATTATTAAAATGATACGTTTCGGCAACTCTAAGTGATAAGTCAAAGATAATATTTTCAAAATGTTTGCCAGTAAAGGAAAATTTCGGCGAGCCCCCCCCCCCTTTTTTTTCATTTTCCTACGTTTCATAAACCATGTCCGAAACCTTTCCTCATTAGAAATAAATAAGAAAGTCTGTTTCAAATCATACAAGAAACTTGTTAAAAATACGATGCAACTTTGTATTTATGAGGACCCCCCTCCCCCTTCCATGACAGTATAGATAATGGGAAAATCGTAATGAAATAGAAAATAAAATTTCAAAAAATTGAACTGCTCGGGATTTGAACCCCGATCATGCAGGTAATAAAGAAGGATGCAGTCAACGGAGCCACCATACGTACGGGTCTGATCTCGGTGAAAAGCCTCATGATAAGGCTCACTCAAATCAGGGGACCGAGCGCGCGTGGTGAGATGCTGCCTCCGTCTCAATTCACCTGTGACAGAATGTAAGGGGAGATTGCATAACGCCACATGCACGCTTTTCCACTAGGAATCGCCGAAGAAAATGTGCTCTCACTCTCAAGGTCGCGGAAGGTCGCAGTAAAACTAAAGATATTTCAAATCTAGATAGTTTTCTGAACACTCTCATATAAGTTTCATGGTGTTCCGTGTAGTTCCGCGCTTTTGCGGCTCTATTGAAGCCAGGAAAAGTAAACGGTCTTGGGCACTGTTTTCAATGAGCAATTATAATACTTAAATAATGATTTTGGAGAAATCGACGATCATATTTCCTTACTCTGGCCTTTGGCATCTCGTTTCATCCAGAAATGACCCTTTTTCGCCACGAAGTACTCTAAAAAAAGCAATACAGTGGCACCACTCCTGATGGGGAGATTGAGGCTGGACGTTTACCGGCTGCAATCCCTATCATTTTAGCGACCAAAAAATTTATTTTTGTGATAATCATGATAGATACGTAACCAGTGGGTGCCTATGGACCCACTCTGACCATAAATAACACCATTTGTTGACTTGATGTAAGGGGGGTTTTGAGCAGCTAGATTGGGGTTTTGACACACTGTGCGTCGTTTCGCTAGTTAAAAATGCTCTCGGAAAGTTAAATAGAGCTTTGGGGCGCTCTAATTTAATATCGGAAAGATTTAGAAAAGTTCGTCGTTCCGTTCAAGAAAAAACGTACTACATTTCAATTTTGTCGAATTTCCCAACGCAAATACCATGTTTATCAGGAGGATCATGGGCATTTCTAACTGCAAATTTTATTGATTTTTCTTCAAATCTCGAGCAAAATTCAGACAATTCGGTATATAAATCGCGCAGGTATATTTGTGTAAAAAATTGCAATTGTTTATGGGTCAATTTTGCAACCTTGGAATGGAGTTTACGTTCCTTCGTCCAGGAAACAACGAGTTGGCGCAAAAGTTACTTGTATCTCAGGCATCTCTGGTGCAAAATTTACTTGTATCTCAGGTGTCTTTGGCGCAAAAGTTACTTGTATCTCAGGTATCGTTGGCATCTAAGTTGATCGTAAAACTGATTGTGAAGATCATATTTTAATCATGATAAATATTACGAACGTTGTGTTTTTATTACAGGTAATTGTGGCTTTTATAAATATTTCTCGCTAAATTTGCACGATTTGTTTTTTTCTGATTGCAGCAAACAAACAAGCATCGAGATCGAGCAATTGAACGCTCGTGTGGTCGAGGCCGAGACCAAATTGAAAACCGAAGTCACTCGCATCAAGAAGAAGTTGCAGGCCACCATCACCGATTTAGAACTTTCCCTAGACGTTGCCAACAAGAACAATTTGGAATTACAGAAAGTTGTCAAGAAACAGTCACTACAGCTCACTGTAAGCAACTCCTCTCTCTATTGACGTGTCAATCGTTGAGACTTTATTCTCTGATCAAATGACCTCGACCCATACTAATATCCAGTCGTATAACTTGCAGTGTAATCTGACGAAGCTGAATTTGACTGCATTTTGCAATTGATCAGGAACCACAATTTCTGACTCAATTTAAAAACAACGTGTGTGCTATTAGTTTCCATGTGCACATAAGCGTTTTTAAGGATGAGCCAGAAATTTTAGTCGTATAACTTGCAGTGTAATCTGACGAAGCTGAATTGGACTACATTTTGCAATTGATTAGGAGCCACAATTTCTGACTCAATTTAAAAACAACATACGTGCCATTTTTCCGTATTCACATAAGTGTTTTAACGGATGAGCCAGAACGTGCAGTTTCTAATTGCAAAATGTAGTCCAATTCGAGGTGAACAAAACCCGTCGGATGACGCTTGCGATAATGTTTGCACACCGCCTTCATTTTGCAAGGTATACTGTAAAACATCCTTGAGGCAGCAATAGTTACCTACTCGATAGAGTGAAGGAGCCACTTAATCGGTATTTGTGAGCGTCTTGTTAAACCACGAGCGCTGTGCTCCGTATTATTTGAGCGGCGAGAAGGAGGATGAAAAAGTGTTCATATTCCAACTGAATTGAATTTGTATCATGACTAATAAATAGTTTTTTTTCTGTAACAGGAATTGCAAGCTCACTATGATGAAATCCAAAGACAGTTGGCTGTGACCCTCGACCAATTGGCTGTCAGCACCCGTAAGAACCAATCCCTCACTGCTGAACTCGAAGAGATCAGGGGCAATTATGACAATGTAAGTTTACATTAACCATCTTACATATTTAATCATGAATCGATAGTCCATTAGCCAATCGTCCATTTGATTTTCTTCCCCATTAGAAAACATGTTTTAAGGGTGCACGGAGAAGACGAATCATCGAGGCCCTCTCGTAGTATTTTGAGAATTTTATCCAGATGCTTGATTCCAGACGCTTCAGCAGTCTGGAAGCGGGATGCTTCCAATATTAGTCCTACTAATGAATTTTAAAAAAAGTTTAAGAAAGTTTCCGCGGAATGTATTCGTAGGACGAAAAAAAAATTTCTCATTTTTCATCAAATATGTTAAAATTTGTTTTTGTAAATATCTTCTCTTGGGTTTATACAGCTATAGAAGGAATCCTTCATACGAAAATACACTCGTAGAAAAAAAATAGTAAATTCAAACAAATTTTTCAATCGTTGACGATTACTAATTCAGAGACATTTAAAATAAGAGGCAACGCAAGTGCGATGTAGATCCAAAAACCTCTCGTACACTAATACCCTACTGCTTCGATTCGTTTGAAGTTTTGAACTCACCTTTTTTCTTAAATCCACTATAGTTTCAGAAAATATTCAGGCCACTTTTTCCAGTCCTTTTATTTTTGTGCCTTATTCTCTACCTTTTGTGTGCACGAGTATTTGTGTGTTGCATGTAAAACAGTCATTAAATATATCTGTGAATTTTTAATAAACATATTGAAAATTTTTTTATGGAAACAGTAAAAAAAACTTCTGGCAATTTGCCCATGATGTCGGCAAAAGGGCGCATTAAGTGACATTTTCAAGAAAAATTTGAAAAGCGAATGGTTCTCACTGAGAAAAAGCTATGGTTTATAAACCTATTAGTGGTAAATATGGAACACCTATAATAGTCGTAAATAAACTACTGATTCTCGGTCTGTGAACCATACTAAGGTCTCTGTACCTTAATTAGGTACAGAGACCATAACTAAGGTATATGTGCTATTATTATATGTAGAGGTACTACTATTAGTGGTGTTCCATATTTACCTCTAATAGGTTTATAAGCCATAGTTTTTTCTCAGTGCTGAGCATGTTCGTCTCGAAGCATTTTCCATGCACCAAATAAAAGTTCGCTAATGTATTCGGTATGCGTATCAGATAGATTTGAAGCTTGTCTTTTAACTCGAGTTTTATGGAGGAGTGAAACCTCGAACCTATTTTGCTCCATTCTTTCGTAATATCTGTCGATTTTCCTTTTCTAAACTGTGTCCAAAGTCATTGTAATACATTTTGAACAGGATTTTTTTTGTTGGAAAAAAATTGCAACCATTGGGTACGGTGGGTGTGAAGGGGCATTCATCCGCTATCCGGCATAGTAAAGAGAATGCTTTACTCTCCTCATAAAAATTGGTTCAAATTATCATAGATGTGAAATTTTGATAGAGTATTTGCCACTCTTGTACGAAAAATGTGCACCCTCCCTCTATTCCTAATCTCGAGTACAGTTCCAGAATTCTTTCAAACATCATCGAAATAGCAATCCCTAAAATATCGCGTCCTCTCACGAGAAAATGATGACTTTTAAGCATGCCTCGTCTCGAAGCATTTTTCCTTCCACCAAATAAAAGTTCGCGAATGAATTCGGTATGCGTATTAGATAGACTTGAAGCTTGTCTTTGTTTGAAGCACGTTTGAGCACGGCTCTTGGGGCCTCTTGCAGCACGTTTTCAAGATAAGTAGTTTTGTAAACGGGATCCGACCGTTTTTGAATTGTGTATTGTTCTGGTTGCAGGCTCGCCGCTCGCAACGACAAGCTTCAGACGATTTCGGGAAAAAATATTATTCCTACTTACATACGTAGATCCATGAATTAAAAATTTAGTAAGGTTGTTAAATGAATAGCTTAATAGTTGTAGACGTGTGCGCTTCCAAAATAGACCCCCGCCTTACCCACTGGAACCTCCCAAGTCTTCTCCCTCCGCTTTCAAGGTAAGCACTGCTTTTTTCGTAAACTCGGCTGTAACGACGATCTCCGGATTCAGTGATGACCTCATCCATCAAAATATAGACCCTTTGCATGCATAGGAAATTTTATTAACGTTGCTACGTTTCCCGCAAACATATATTCAATTCCATAAAAATTTCTTCAGAATATGTAAGAGAATCGAAGGAATTGTATATTCATAAGTCCCACCTAAGCTGTGCTTGAAAATTGACCTTTAGTAATACTGTCATGATTTTTACCTATTTTTCCTGGCCACTTTTCTTCAAGGGAAATTCTTATGATTGTCCATCTATGGTTCTCCAAACCGTTAGCAACGCTGCGACGTTTCAGAATTTCCGATTTCTGATTCTCAGTTTCATCACTCGCTAGCTACGTGCTCCAACCTCTCTCAAGCGCTCAGAGGGCCGTTTCATGAAAATAAAGTGCCTGGCTTTTAATACCGACCATTTGAAAAGATCCGTAGACTCTTGCTCAACAATAGCCAAAAAAATTAGTCTGGTAGATCTACAGGTGTCTTTTTGACAAAAAGTAAAAATTTTGAGAATTTGAAAAATTAGCTCATTATACTGCTTATTTTTTTTATTCCCCCAAAGGAGAACTTCAAATAAATTTTCGCATCCATTTTTGAAAAGTAAATCGCCCATCTCAATACCACTAAAATTCATACCACGAGACACTGAACACCACGAATTTGTCTTTTAAAAAAAAATGGGGGAACGATGAACTCCTTCCACCTTAGCACATTTAACATTCACAGAAAACACTAAATGCCAAGCATTGGATCTACTGAAGGGGGGAGGGGATTGAAAAAAACACTCTGAAACGTCGCAATGAGCTTTGCTCCCCATAAGTTCATCGTGGCAATGATATCATCGCATGTCTCTTGATAATTGAAGTGATGACGTCATTACATCCGTATCGATCATCGAAACGATGACGTCACTGAATCCGTCCGTCGTTACAGCCGATTTTGCCGATCCCTGCAAGGTCCCCAGATCCTTTTCCGTGTGATTTTTTCGATATTATATGCTATACATAACAGAAGCTATGTATATTATATATCCTCTGTTTTCTTTTCGGAGTTTTTGAAGCGTGCGATTGATTTGTTTGCAGGCTCTCCGCTCGAAACGACACGCAGAACAGCTGTACGAGGAGTCCCAAGTCAGGGTGAACGAACTGACCACGATCAACGTGAATCTCTCGGCGACCCGTGCCAAGCTCGAACAGGAATTGCAATCAATCGCCAACGACTACGAAGAAGTAACCAAGGAACTCAGAGTAAGCCCCGATTCTCAGCATTCTCGTCGTTTTGCTACAAAGTTGTTCACGGCCCGATTCATCGCGATCTGTCTAAAATACGGTGTGGGGCGTGAGACGGAATCGCCATCTCAGCCGAATCTTAGGNGGGGGGGGGGGGGGGGGAGGCGTTGCAGGAATGAAAGAAAATTTGCTCAGGAGGGGAACGAAACTATAAAAACTCTGTAGAAAAGCTCTTGAAAATTCTGAGCCAAAAGATGAGAAAACACGCACTGGAAAAAAAAACACATTGGATCTAGAGTAAAGACTCTTGAAAACATTGACAAAAAAAATACTCTTGATTCAATCGGATTTTTGCTTGAATCAAAACGAAATCCGCTTAAATTAAGAGGCTTGGTTCTTGATATAGCTAAGCTAGATTCTGATTGAATCAAGAGTACTTTTTCTCTTCGATGTTTTTAAAAGTCTGGACTCTAGATCCTAGATCCAATGTGTTTTTTTTTCCAGTGCGGGAAAACATGGATCGCTGATTACATGGTTAAAAGATATCTCCGACATGTTTCAAATTTACATTCTACAATAGTGGAAAGCTAATTTAAACACGAGGTTAAATTAGGCATTTTTTTATCGTAAAATATACATTGAAACATGTCGGATACTTTCTTACACTACAATCTTGTTAAATCAGCGACACCATTTTTTGCCGTGAACTTCAACGTTAACGTGCCACCTTTAAGGTGATTTCTCCCAGGAAGTAAACAAACATCGATATATCAAACAAAACGTTGCGAAAATACGAGTTTTACTTTTTACTCCTTGTGAAAATAAAGATGCAACAGTGTAGAAACATACCTCAGCAGTCTATTGGTGAAAAATCTCTTCCGAAAACCCTAAATTAAAGCCAAATGAGACCTAACGCGAAAATTCAAGTTTAATTTGACTAATCGAATGCATGTTCTGCGTTTAGTCTCATTTAGCTTTAATTTAGGGTTTTCGGAAGAGATTTTTCACCACTAAGTCTAGCGGAAGTATGCTTCTGCGCTGTTGCATCTCTGTTTTTACTAAGAATGAAAAGCAAACCTCGTATTTTAGCAACATTTGTTCGATATATTAATTTTTGTTTACTTCCTGGGAGAAATCACCTTAAGGTGCTTGAGACCTCTATCTTTTTTACTTTTTTTTTCAAAATAATTATTGATTTTGACACATCATAGCATATTATAAGCATACACAAGCATACGTATAGCATACATAAGCGAACTCAATTTTAACTTCTTCCGAATTTCAAGCATGAGAGACACGTCAATGCCCGTTGATAACGGCGCAGAGATACAACTATACGTGCTTGATGGATGTCCGTATTGCGTCTGCAAAATTGAAGGGGCGATGGCGCGAACGTGAACTCGCAATGTTCCATTCTATTGCTGCCAATGAGGTGTTGTCCAGATTCGAGAGAAAAGATAAAAAACGAAGCCCGATTACGTTCTCCTATCTTCGGCTGTGTTGACACTTGATATTTTTTTCCAATTTGAATCTTTTTTAGGATGTATTTGTAGACCTATGTGCAAATCTTATATGCACCAGCACCATAACCCCCCAAGAAGAGATAGTCGGGTTGATTTAACTCGGTGCCTCATCTAACGGACAATGAAATTGGCTTGCATTAAAAATAAAAGTTGTAACTTATTCCTTTTTTAAAGCAGTAAGTTTCAACATGAGAATCCCCTTAAATCCGTAGATACGCAACATACACTACAATGCGATACATTATCAATTCCTTTACCATATAACCGAGATATCGCGCTTTGAAAAGTCGGGTTATGACGTAATCCACCGCGGTAGTGACACCCTTTGTTTCTTCTACCTTGCTTTCATTTGTCAGAGAGACGCATTCTCACTGTCTACTAAACGTGAAACTCGGATGAAAGCGACGTGAAAGAAACCAAGGGTGTCACTACCGCGGTGGATGACATCATAAACCGAATTTTTCAAAGCGCGATATTTCAGTTAATATTGGACGTAGAAAGTTGATGTTTTCACTGATCTTATTATTTTTAGCTAATCTAAAATAATCAAGCATCAAAACACGATTCTGTGACCAGCGCAACTGACCCATTTAACCATGAGTAAAAAAGAACTTATATTGTGAAACATGCGGACCATGGGGAGACCTTAGACTGGGAGTCTATTGCGAAACACAGTGGCGCCACTAGTTTTCTCTGTAATACATTTCTGAGCTCAAAAAAAGCTCGCAAAGTTCAGGGCGTAATAGAGAAAATAATATAAGTCGAGATCCACCTCCACATCTAGTCGAACTCTCCATGCACAGATAGAGATGAAATACATCAGCAGGGTTGCCGTGTTCCCAGTCTTGGAGTCCCCAAACAAAATGGCAACCCTGCTAATGTACTTGCTCCATTTATCTGCATATGACAACTTTGATACTTTGAAACTACTTGATACTTGAAAGATACTTTGATGAGATACCCGATTTATAAATTGACTATACTCAGTATTTTTTGTGGGATTTCAGATAGCCGACGAAAGGTTCCAGAGGACACAAGTGGAGCTGAAACACACCGTTGAACACTTGCACGAGGAACAAGAACGTATCGTCAAGATCGAGGCCATCAAGAAGTCCCTCGAGATCGAAGTCAAGAACTTGTCCGTCCGTCTCGAGGAGGTCGAAGCCAACGCCATCGTCGGTGGAAAACGTATCATCAGTAAACTTGAAGCTAGGGTGAGTGAACCTCTCATGTCCAGATTGCAAATTTTACAGGTTCACCGGCTCTCAAAATTAGCGAAATCCGGGTCTGAGTTCAGAACTATGTATGGAAAACTAAGACTAAATGGAACTAACTAACTAAGACTAAACTAAATGGAAAACTAGGTATTTAAGGAGCAATTTTTTTGAAGGCGTACAGGGCTCGCAACCTATCGAGGCCCAGTGCAGCAAATTTTGAGCTCGAAAATACGGTGACTTCGTTGATGAATAACTGAACAACTTTTTTCTTCTTCTTTTTTATTTTATTTTTTTATTTTATTTTATTTTATTTTTTATTGCAATGAAAGAATCCAATTAGACAATCGACTCGAAGCGGAAACGACTGTTTTGTCCGTATAAAACCTGCCGATTTTTCTCGATTTTTAGCGAGCAAAAATTTGGGATGACCCACTAATCTTTCTCAGTTCGAGGCGTAAAATCACTTACGCATCATTTCGAGAATCCTCGGGACCTCCTAAGCCGAAAAACGAGTGGTTTTGACCGTTTGCGAATATTCACTTTCTCGTCTGCCGGTTGTGAGCTTCAATGATCCTGGAGTATCCGGTCGAGGTGAAGACGTCAATCCCCCCCTGGTAAAAATTGGCAGTAGAATGTGTGTTCCAAAATACTATAGACCTAAAGCCGGCTGTAAGATTTCCAATATAGCTTCTGTAGCCGGCTGTACAATTTCTTATAGCCTTTTATAGCCTATGGCGATGAAGCAACAGCCAGACGATAAAGTTTATGCTAAATGTTACTAAATACGGATACTAGGACTTAGTTAGTTTTTGGACTACCGCTCTCTTTTTGTGCCGTAGTATCTTGATTTATTTTGCGAGGAAAGCTAACTCGAGGACGCCTGTCATTCTAAATATGTTGGAGCGCCTTCAATTTCTTATGATACTGTGCAATACCTCTGGTGTGAAATAGTTGCTTCAGACGCCGTGGCACGCTGCGGCGCGACGGGCGGGCAGAGAGCGCAAAACGCGCATTGGCGCCTACAAACCTAACAGGGATACTTCACGCATTGCGCAATGCGTGAAATATCCCTGTTAGGTTTGTAGGCGCCAGTGCGTCGCCACTTCGCTTTGTGTTAGGCTCTAATATTTAATCTCGCGGAGTCAGCGTTTTTCAATTCATGATTTTGAAATGTTTGCACACTCTGTATGGACTATTCTCATTTTAATTGATGGGGAAAAAAATGTTTTAAAGGAAAATATAATGTGTGTTTTGTAAATATTAAGGTAGTTCCGTATCAAGCTTAATGATTTCCAAAGCACACGAATTTCTACACAATTTCTCATAGCCTTTTACAGCCAATGGCGATAAAGTATTAAGCCCGGCGATAGGAACTATAGCCCGACTGTATACTTTTTTATAGCTTCGTATAGTTCGGCTATATGATTTGCTCCGCTTTCTACAGTCAGCTATATGATTTTCAATAGCCTTCTTTAGTCGGCTATAAGAACTCCTATGGTATTTTGAAACGCAGCTCCTATCGCCAATTTTTACCAGAGAAATATGACGCGCCCGGTCCGATTTTTTTTAAAAAAAATGTTCCACGAGTTAATGGAAGCTCGTAATCGACGGATAATGGGATGCGCGAGAAAATGTCAAAATCTGTCAAAAACACTTGTTTCTCGGTTCAGGAAGCGTCTCCAAGCCTCGCAGGTCGCATTTTCAGAGGAACACTCGTTCGATACCGTTTCTCGGCCCAAGAAGCCTTGCCGAGCATAGGGACCATGCCGATCGGCAAAAAACGTGAGTGGTTGCAGCGCAAGTCGCACTTTCAGAAAACCACTCGATTTTTACCCATTTCTCGGCCCAGGAAGCCTCGCCGAGTGTCGGGACCATGCGCAATCGATTCTACTCCTCGAACTACATATGATGCGACTATCATCTCGAAATTTTTCTCTCGGTCCGAAATTGAGAAAAATCGACAGGGACTAAATTTTTAAGGTCAAAATCTAGAGCTCTCTGATCGGGCCGAAACCAAGCTGGTGCGCTCGGAATGACCTGCTAAGTCCGATTTTCTGGTCGGAAAAGCACCTCGAGTCCGTATAATTGCGCGATCGGGGAAAAACGCAGGGTAGGTGAACTTTCGGAAGACTGTCAAAAATACTAGTTTTTTATTGTTTCTCGGGCTTAGAACGCCAGAATATGACCTACTCAAGTATAATTTTTCTCCTGAAAAAAATGATTTCTATACATTTGCTTTGCTTCCAGATTCGTGATATTGAAATTGAACTGGATGAAGAAAAGAGACGCCACGCAGAAACCGTGAAAATCTTGCGCAAGAAAGAGAGAACATTGAAAGAAATCGTCATCCAGAGCGAAGAAGACCACAAGAACGTCCAATTACTCCAAGATACCCTCGAAAAAGCCACACAGAAATTGAACTTGTACAAGAGGCAACTCCAAGAACAGGTAACTTGATTCGGAGCTTCAGATAATTTTCTCCAAATAAAGGAGATTCTTATATCTGTAAGGGTGGGAGCTTAATTGCATTGCATCGTTTCGAGGCTTACCGTAGCCAATTTTTATTTTTTCTTTTTTATATTTCATCTATTTACGAATGTTTTCTTCAACGATTTGTGGAATCAATTCATGAATTTCATGGAATGAAAATTCTTAAGTACTTTTATAAATTGTCAATTGTAATTTTGCAGCATTGCAACGTAAGTAAGCTCCCCTGATTCTCACCTCTTCGTATGCAACATGTCAAGTTTTGAATTTCGGAAATCGGGTGAATTGCTTTCAATGCAAACGCAGCATACCTATCCTTTCAGTTTGAAAGATCAACACCCGTGACACATTTATTGCCTATCTATTAATATGAAGGCAAAATTAATGTTCGCGTGTAACTTGCGTCTGCAGTGCGTCGCGTCAATTCCAACGCTCACTCCTTCTTCTTTTGATGTCGTCAATGAACATCGTCAAGTCCACGTCAAGTAAGTTTAAGCACCCTTAGTGCGTGACAGAAAATCTGCCTTGATTCTTCCCTTTATTTTCAATGCTAAACTGGTAACAGCTGACCTTCTGTCTCGGCCAAATGATGTTTAAACTTATTTGGCATGAACTCTGCCCTCGTCAAATATGAATTTCAGTAGTGATTTTCAGAGACTAAAATTATTTTGACACCTTTGGTGCAAATCTCTGGTGACTCATTTTTGGACCACATGGGAGACAGGGGTAAGTATACTGTCCCTGGGTTATCTGTGATGTGGGACTTTATCTCTGAAACCAAAATTTTCTTTTTTCCAGACAATTTTTGGTAGAAAATTTAGTAGTTCTGAGATGAAACTTGGTTGACAGACCACTTTCTTTTTTTTAAATTTTAAAATCAACTCTTTCAGACTTTTATCACTAAAATCAAACTTTTTCAAACTAAAAATTAAGGACGAAAAACACATATTGTGTAAATTGTAAGCTGTTATTTGTGTACTAGTGGCACGGTTTACTTTGACCATTAAAACGTGTTTACATCTAAATTTGGGGGGAAATTTTCCTTTTCACTTAAAAAAGTGACATTGTCTTAGCTTTGACAATAATGGCATTAAGATATCTTTCCAAATATTTAAAGTGATCTTTAGATTTTATACTATTTGCATTGCAATTTTCAGCAAAAAAATCAATGATGCAGTCATAGTGCAACATAACAAATTTTTTATCAATTTCTATGGCTGTCTGGTCAGCGAAATTCTCTTTTAAAAATAATAAATCTGTCAATCTGAAAAGAAATGGCAAAAATGCAAACTTTCTCCGATGAAATAAGCTGCTTAAAACTGATTGTGAATGCTTGGCAATTCAAAAACAAACACTTACAAATGAATGGAATAATGTGGAAAAATGAATCGCAATAATTTTATGCCATCATTGCAATTAATTGCAATCCATACTGTTGCAGTGTTAAGTCCGTTGTTTTTTGTAGTATCCCTCCTTCCAGAATAATAAGTCTGGAAGAAAGGATGAGTGGCCTGCTCATAGCTTTGATTTTGAAAGCCCTCTAAACATAATTTATGAAAATGTTTATATTCATTTGCACCTATGTGTAAATCATTTTCGTTTGTACGTAGGTATTTTTGTCAGATCTAGTATTTTCATGTGCACTTTTATTAGGAAAATTTAGACCTTTTCATCCACACTTCTAAAATGTAAAACCAGCTCATTTCTTCTCATATCGACGGTTAATAGGTATAAAATTGAATAATTCAGAACGTCATTCCTTGAAAGCTTTCTTCAGTTCTGAACCCTGTGTGAAGTATTCTTCACACAGGGTTCCTTCTTACAATGCTTCATCTAAAAATCTATTTTATTATTCAATTAGGTATTTTAATTGTTGTGCAGGTTTTCTTTTGAAGATTTCAGGGAACTTGCCTCAAATTACGCAGGAAATCCACCAAAATTTTTAAAAGAATCAACACTGCAGTTCTCTCGAAGAAAAAAAATTATCCGATGAAATTGCTGACGAGACTATTCCTTCCTGCTTAATGGAGTCTGACTCAAACTATACATAATAAGTTTTTTTGACTGCTTTCAGGAGGGTATGAGCCAACAGAGTGTGACCCGAGTACGAAGATTCCAGCGGGAGTTGGAGGCAGCTGAAGACCGAGCTGACACGGCCGAGAGCAACCTGTCCTTAATCCGCGCCAAGCACCGCACCTTCGTCACCACCAACACCGTCCCTGGATCCCAGGTCTACCTCGTCCAAGAAACCAGAACTTCCAACACCGAGTCCTATTAGACTCCTCATAACTTATTCGTTTTTTTATATTTCAATATTTAATTCAAATTTGTTTTATCTCTCACTGTACCATCCTTTATTTATAATTTACACCATTATATCATGAAACAATTCTACCACCTGCACACTTTCTTCCACTCCTATTGATGTCAAGGTTGTGCTAAGAAATTTCTCGTTAACACCTAATTTATTAGTAGTCCTGCTGGTGTTTGCAATAAATTGTTACCCCCTGCAATTGTCGGAAAACCTGACCACACCTCTCATTTATTTTTTTATGAATATAATTTGATGTATTCCACCCTTACTATTTTTTTCTAGAAATTTGTTGATGGGTATGAGGCTTGACATTTATTGAATGTACCTATCATTTCATCATTGATGATAATTTGTTATACTGCTGATGGAACAAAATAAAGCATTTTCTTCTCTTGCCCAAGTTTTCTGAAATATTAAATTGCCCTTTCATACCTTCGATAGATTTTAAGTAGGCTCTGAATCTTGGTATTTTTCAAGAGTATACAAGGGAAGGAGGAAGAAAGGACAGCAGCCTGATTGTTCAAATTTTGTGTTTGTCAGGTCGCCATAGATGACATAGGTTAAAAGGTGGAGCGTAATTGGTCGGCCATGTCTTATCGCTGCTTTATCGTGCCTTCGTCAGGTGGAATGGACGACATACTGTCGGAAACTTAAGAGGTGTCGTTAGCTTGTCGTGAGTTCAACCCGATGTAGGCACGACAAAGCAGCGATAAGACATAGCCAACCACTCACGCTCCGCCTTTTAACCTATGTATGTCTAATATGATGCTGTATTGAGGATTTGGCTGCAAAAAGAGCATTTCTCTACTACAGTGTTTCGAAATCATTACTAACAATTTAATTTTAAGTGAGAATTCTGATGAGCCCCCAGAAAACTTGAGATTTGCATTAAATGTATCATCAGAGGAAGAACAATATTCAATCACACTGCTGTCTCTTTAAACTCATTTCTTCTCTGTTGAGAATAAAAATGTCGAGAGAAATTCTGGACACTGAAACTAAGAAGTGTTTTTTCCAACTCAAGTCCTCAATTGTGCAAAAATAAATTTGTAAACTTTTACAGTATTTGGGTTTGATACAAACTAAGAGTGCACAAAGTTAGTAAAAATAAAAAACGTTTATTTGAATCACCGAATATTTACATATCACTTGCACAAACTATTTTGACTCTATCAGTTCATTTGGTGAAAAAATTTTAAATGCTTCAGTCATTAGGCTGTACAGTAGAGCGGTTTGAACATTATTGGTCGGAGTTTCTCCAAAAACATTATTAATACTATGTAATTAACTAGATATAAAATAAGTCTATCAGATTTGATTATGAATAGTCAACTAGAAATTTCTACTAGGAAACTATAAATTGGTCAGAGGTATGTTGGTAAAAGTCGGCAAATCTTGCAAAAAAGTACATAAAAGAGCTGCAGGAAAAGAATACAAAGACAAAGAAATTTAAACTAAACAGAAAGTAGGGCAGTTTGCTTACAACCGTCAGCATCAAAACACAAACGGTTGAATTCTTGTGGTCTTATACATTAATAGTTGACAAATACTCTAATTTGAATTCAATTGCAAGTTTTAAAATGGAAAAGGTCACTTAAAAAGTCAAAATTGCAGCTATAGGAATTCTTATCAAGAGTTTAAAACAATTTTTCTTACAGATTTATCTTAGCGTAACTTCTGGAAACCAATGATCATGGGAACAATGAACAACCTTCAAAAAGAAAAAATTCATTCCAAAGGGAATTTGGTAATTCAAAAATTAAATTTTTGGAGTCTTTTTTGCATATAACAGACTCTACAAATCCCAAAAATTTTAAAAGAGATACTCGGCTGTAGACCAAATGGTAAAGTTGAAACATTGAGAGCTGATTGAATAAAACAATTGAATATGTACAAGGTAAAAAATATGAATTGATGATCCTTGTGGAGTGCTCGAGTCAGTTACTAGTGCAAAATTAAACTTGCACTGTACAAGTATAATAATTGGGAACTACAAAATTCCAGCTTTTGAAAAGCCATTGACATTAGTTTTCATTTGAATCTCCACACTAAACCTCTGCATCTAAAAACTGAAAAACGATCAAAGACGGACCTATCAAAAGGACCTACTGGCACTTAACTACTCCAATGTAGCAATGCCATGAGCGAATACAGCAAAAGTTGTCTTTAAACAAATGTTAGTTGTTCGGTGACTGATTTCAAGTCCTTGTTGAACTAATAGGTCGAAAATTTGTCCAGGGTGATATTACAGTAACTTTTAGGAAAAACTCTCCAAAATTTGTGGGCCATTTTTCATCCTCCGAATTGATTCCGTGGTGAAACAGTAACACTGGGAGTTGGAGAACAAAAAATTACTTGAAAACTTCAGAGGGTTCCTTACAACTTGTTATCATGAAATATCCGTGAAAAAGTGAATTTTTAACTCGATTAGCTCAAAAAAGAGTAGAAAGTTAATGAAAGTAGCTTGACCCTTCTCTAAACTCTATTCTCAAAAATTTATAGTTTTCTCAAAACTTGAGAAAAATTTATTTTAAAGCAACTTTTACTTCTTAGCATGTGCTAAAAAATCATCCAGCATTTTAGACAAGGCCTGCGATTTTCAGGAGAAATACTGAATAAGTCATGAAAATTTAAAGAAACTTAACTGATCGTACACCTTCATACCTTCATACCTTTCATAGTACATGCATTAAATTGAAAGGCTCTGACCAGTATCAGTCCAACAGTGTTCACACTTGGAAATTTCATTCAGGTTTTTTCCTCTCAAAAAATATGCATCATCATGCCTTGAAACTTTCTCTTAATCTCTTCAGATCACAGAGAAAAACTCCATAAAATTTTGAGGCCAAAATGCTGCTCGGTTTCCTCTTTTAAATGATAGTAATAAATAGGCAGGAAAAGAGGCAATGCGTAATACAGGTACACTGATTCTGGCTGAAGCTGTCCAATAGTGGTATAGAATTTACTACAAAATGTATGACTGATCAAAGGATGGTATTTTCAGAGTTTACTAACAGATGCTACATGTTCGTCACTCAGTGTCTAAGGGCACTAGTCTGCTTTTCGATACTCATATTCAAATACTCGAAAAGCAAAAACTCTCTTAAAGCTCTTTAAAACAATTCAAAAGAAAAAGAAGACTAGTTTTTGACTAGTTTTCTCACTATCAAACTGAGAATGAAAACTAAGCGGATGCTCTCGAAGGTCATCTAAAGGAAAAAAAAATTAGTGAACTCGCCATGAATACTGCCAGCTCTTGTCTGCCTTCGTAGGAGAAAAATGATTAGTTCCTCGCCTCCTACATGAAGGAACATAACCGAATTGCCCTACTTCAGTATTCTTTATTGACAATTCATTTTCCTTACAGGAGAATTGTGCCATAGGTTTGCGTAACATTTTCAATTATTTTTTTTTACACTTATTAGAAAAGAATCTAAAATCTTGAGAAAATTTAGGCGATGGTTCAGTTATGAAAAAATCATTTTATGAATACGGAAGCAACAAAGATGAGTTACATTCCTTTGTGTAAGAGACAATGATTTGTGACAATAATGAGCATAATATTGGCCGAGGTGGAGATTCAACAAAAACTGATTAATAAAGCTACCTCATTAAGATGAAAACCTGAGTCATTGGAAAAATTTTGTGCAAAAAGGAATAATTAAGATACCAATTGAGCAGACCTCCACAAAAATACAATGAAAACAACAGATAATGACTGCAATGGAAAACAGGATTAATACATAGATTAAAATCACTTGAAAAAGGACTGTCAATACACAATTCCAATAATAGGACAGTCTCTTTTTCTTTCATTCATTTTCGGTTACGGCTATACAAACACAAATGGTTTCAGCTTCATTGCTTTTCCAGTAGTTCTCTTATGCGAGCTGGTTGAATAGCTGTAGCAATGGCGACCCTGAGGAAGTTCTCCTGCGAGTATTTGACTTTGATAACCTGAAACAATGTGAAAAAAGTTTAGGAGGATTGAAGAGGTAAAGCAGGATTTACTTATGGTAACAAATATCTTTCTGAACAGATGAAAAGACTTTTTTAACGGTGAATGCATGGAGGAGAGCTTATACTATCGACAATGCATTATTTGTGCGACTTCATTTGTGAAAAAGATACATTACACCTATCGGAGAAAAAATTTAGGTTTTCGTTTGTTGAAATTAATGTTTCCTGAGGATTGCAGTTACAATAAACATCTAAAAATATCAATACACAATTTGAACTGAGTTAAAAGAAACAGTAACATCTACATTGCAGTGTTTCAAACTCTTATCTCCTATAAATCCACAAAATTTGGAGCAAAAATGTTGGTTGGTTCTCTTCAGGAAAATTAGAAAGATACATGACATTCTGACACACTTCAATAAAAGTGGGATTGTTTAACTCTGTCAATTTTATGTGCATACATTAATTAGAGCCTTAATCATATTTAAAAATGAGGCCATGAAATTCGTGCCTGAAATAACACCTTAAAAAATACAGGTCAGGAAGAGATGAAAAACAGCTTGTGGACACATAAAGGTAGACAAGGACCAGCATTAATACCATACTATCAGAGAATGCATAGGGTTAAGCTGCAAACTTGCGTACTAAGATTTTTAACAGTTTTGAAGTGGCTGCATGAATGAGCCGTAGAAAATGTCTTTCATCTAGGTACCATCATATTATTTTACATGAAGAAAAACATCGGGAAGTTACCCAGAAACATAATCTATGACTGCATATCTAGATCTAGGTTTCAAAACGCATTTTTCGTGCAAGCTCCAGTAAAATCAGTCATTTTCTTCGTACAAATTATGTTCTCCATGAAATTTTGATGAAGATATTACTTACATTCATTTTCTTGGATGCGGTGACATGCTGGATGGTATTTGCTAGCAAATTGACGATGGGCTTGATCACTTTGAATGAATACTTTGAGTAGTAGTGTAGTTCCTGGGTCCATGTGGATTCACAGGATAAAGACGAGTTTTTACTGGCACTGCAACAACAAAACAATTCACAATGAAAAGTCTGAGTCAATTGACTTATACCATCGAACATTAAGTAAGTTAAATTGAATAAATAAGAGGAATTAAGCAGGTTTTTTTTACTTTTCTTCGATTTTCCGATTCCTTGCATTTCCCCAGAAGTGTTTGCAGAAAATAAGTCTCCACTAAAACATATCCGTCGCAGAGGTATATCTTCACAGTTTGCTGAGACTATGGTTGCCACAACTTAGAGAAGCTACCTTTGGCATATTAAAATCTTGTCCAACTTCACTACCATAAAATATATTTTACCGTAAATATGTTTTCTACAAATATTGGGCTTACTACTGTTGTTGAAATGCATATACTTTTCAAAAGAATACATATTTCATTGGCACTACATGAAAATTTGTGACTGCCATACGTGATCAGATAAATAGTTATTCTTAAAAATCCAGGCAGCTGTCATAAAAAATCATTGGTAAAGTCATACATCTAAGAAATCAGCATGTGCTATTAGCTGTGGATAGCAATTTAAACTTGACACAAGAAAACAGGCAGCTTTCGATTTTAAACTCTTTTCACTGAACTGTTTCGAATGAAACTTTTTCTCTCTTAAATTTCGAAGTTAACACAAATTCCCTGGGTTTTCCCTGTTTTCCTGGTAGTAGAAACAATGATTTTGGAAAAGCAGTAGCCAAGAAAAGCTGGCGCAGCAGAGAGTGAATGATTTTTCTAAGCCCTAAATTCTCCAGGGTTCCTACCATCCTTCAGAGATGCAACATATAAATTTTTTTAAAATGAAAATTCTTGAAATTTTTTGTAACTTTTGCAATGGACTCAAAATGCGATGAAACCCTTAGAAAAGTAAAATCTTAATTTTGAAGAAAAAAACCACTGATAAAATGTTTGGAAGCTTCTTAAAGAATTCTTGAATAACTGTTGCAGATTGCACACGCAATCTCTGAAAAATCAATGAAATTTCACTTTCCAGCGAAATGAAATTTCATGCTTGCATCTCTACTTTCATTTTAAGAATCAACTCTCAGACCTAAGCATCTTCTTTTGTTTTTGATTATTTGATCACAACCTTCGGACAAGATTATCTCACGTCAAATTATTCTCTGAATTTTACAAGAATTAAAAAACGCAAAAAGATAAAAAACCTCAGTTCTGAGAAAAATACCTTAGAGCTATGTATGTGGCTGCAGCTGCAACTTTGGATGGAGGAATGTGAGTAAAAGCATAATCCACCAAGGCAAGCTCGAGGAAATATTTCCCATAGGAGTGAATTATTGATGTTGCCTAGAACAGACAATAAAAACAGATAGTAATGTAGAGGCCGGGACAAAAACTTCAAAAAAATTAAAACTCTATTAACATTACCCATACAAAAAACGATCTTGTGAGTAATTTACGAGACCTGCATAGAATTATTGTGCTGCAGAAGAATACTATTAGGGCCATATTTCATCTAAAATAGAATGATGCACAGAGTGATCTCTTAACTAATGGATTGATACTGTTTGTACCATCATTTTAAATTTTCTACCTAGAAATTAAATACTTCTTAGCCAAAGGAAACATTGAGATGAATGTCAGCAATCACAACAACAACCACAACACCCGAAATACAATGGATCCTAAAGTAATTGTGCCAAACTAAGGCAACTCTTTGAATCAAGAGCTTAAAGTGAATTAAAAAACACTGATAATGTGCGATTGTTCAAAAAAGGCTTGAAGAATATTTGAGCCTTTAAGGATACTATGCACATACAAGATGCCATTTATCAGATGACCTCTGGATCGATAGGCAAGGATGGCGATTAGGTGTCGCAAAGCGCCCGGGCTCGCTGTAGGGCGACTTGAATGTATGTAAGGATACTATGCAGAGCTAATGTTTTTCAACTACCATAGTTAAAAATGGCACAACATAAATTACCTATGGATACTCAAAACAGCAAAATGCTTTATTGAATCTGTCATCCTCAAAAAGCCTTCAGGGTAAAAATTAGAATACAAGAAAAACACAATTTTTTTTTAAATTGAACAATTTCAAATTCCATTGCTCCAATATATTAGGGCATTTAATTGGTTAATCACATTATTACATTATCTAGGATTTGAGGCGGGTCGATTGATACAGTTTGACTTGAATTTTTATTTCTGGCGTTGACATATTTGGGGGAATGACGAATTCAATCAAGTTTTGCTTGCTCATGATTTAAAATTAAAATCCCAGCTGGTATCGTGATTGAGTGCAGAGCTCTTTGGAGAACTCTATTGCACTGTAAAGAAATGTAATAAAATTTCAGTCTCCAAATTCTCCAAATTCATTTATGTGTCCGAGGAAAGAAGACTGTTCTAAGAGAATTCTGGGACAGAGACCTCACAAAACCAGAATTAAGGCAGTTTGAAGTTTGTCATTTTGTGTTTGTTTGAGTGTTTCTTTCCCCCTGTAAAAATAAATTATTTAAAATAATATCGGGATAGCTTTGTACATGCTGACAAAAAAATAGATAAATACCGGTTCCGAAATGTAAAAAACTAGCATGCTGTGTAATGGTATTAACTTCCTTGAAAATAAAAATTTGGAAAATATTCCTTCTAACGAGGCTTAAAAAAACTTACCCCTGCAGCTTTGCTGTAACGCCGAAGGAAATGAATTGACAGTGGTCGATTAATTGCGAAGTCCAGGCATTTCACAATCTTTTTCTCCATCGCCAGCACTTCTCCACTTGTAAAAGCGTTGTCTGAAATGTAAACAAATGCTTCAATGTCTGGGCAGTAGGTTTCCTCGTATTTGGCTGCGATGAACATTGCAGTCACACCAACCAACTGGAGTCTGTTTTTCGGCAGGTCTTTCGTTCTCTAGAAAAAAAAACAGGAGAAAAAATTATTTCTCATTCATTTACTGAGATATGAACACACTATTATACTGGCCCTTACTGTAAATTATAGTTTTCATGAAGGCTATGCTAATTATGATGCAAGAGGGGCATTATAAAAAGTTCAAAAAAAATTGATGTTATTTTTCAATGTATTGCTTTTCATACAAATAAGATACGATGGAAAAGTGAGGATTTTATTTTCATTTTGAATGGGACAAAGGGGAACAAATCATGACTTTGTTTTTGAACTTCTTCTATGAATTGCAGTGCTTTTGTTAAATCAGAGGGGAAAATAAGCAATCCATAGGATAGGAATTAATTTGATTATGTGCAACATTGATAATTTTTAATGCTCTGAGAAGTGGGAATAGAATGGGTGAAAATAGAGGGCAAGAGTGAAAAAAGTGAAGAACTGAAAGCTAAAGTAAGAAAAGTGAGCCATTGAAAACCCTGCAGTTCCTTAAAACAGTGAGAAAGAACAGTAGTTTCGTTAAGGTCTTCTAGGCGTTTCTAGGCATATAATTTCTCAGCGCTTATGCGAACCACTTGTCTCTTAATTTACGAATCTTAATTAAAGGTATACGTTAACTCTCTTGGCCGTTAAACTTAAACATTCATTCTTGTTTGCAGTTTATGACAAGACAAACTCAGAGTCAATTTCCCATTTGATACTAAATTAATTAGAAAATCTTTGACTAGTTCGAGGTTTATTTTTTTTTTCTAGCGATTAACTTGTAGAACTGCAAAAAGCCTTCAAAGAGAATACAAAATTAATGGGGGAGGAAGATGTTTCAGTAAACTTTCTACAAACTAAACAAGACCGTTAGGATGTATAGCAGAAAATATATGGTATAAGTTTAGGAGCACTTACCTGTAAATAATTATCAACGATGAAAATAGTCTGATGAAGAGTTTCTGGGGTCAAGCGATACTGCACTTGCACTTCCACTAACCAAGAGACGAGAGTGCCTCTCATTGAGGACGTGATCAGAGCTCCTTGCAAAAAGTCTTTCTTGATGGGATTTCTTGCCTGGAAAAATCAAGAACTTAATTTAATAACTGAACGTTGATGGAGAGGCAGCAATATTAAACAAAATTAAAAATACCAGCTATTACGCTACGATCTTGTTGTTACAATGCCTACAACAAAATTGGATGAACAAAAAAAAGGAAAATACTGGATAAAGATTTAATACCATTTCGTAAAATTGGATGAGGCAAAAATAAAGGGTACAGGCAAGGTTCCGTCCCAAATATAAGTAATGCAGGGTGTCTCTGGATGAGGCAAATACTCTGCCTGTTCCTGATTTTTTCTGACCAAAATGATCAAAATCCCTGACTTTTCACAAGTGATGGGTCGCATCTGAAATTAACCTGAATCTGAATCCCAAATTTTAATTTTCAGTCCAAATCCGTCACGAATCCTTCACTTTTCAGAATCTTGATACTTTTTGTTATTCATCACGCAGGTCAACAAATACTGGTTGCAATATCTGGACGCAGCGAGTATTTATACCAATATTTACTGTTCAAGAACATTCTGGAATGAGTCAAAAATTGAAATCAGGAGACGATAGCGATATTCGACGCAATTCAACAACCTTCGGGATTCGGCTTCATAGGGCGAATCTTGAAATTTCAGCGGATGTACGGATGCACTGATTCGAGTTGGAGCATTTTGACACCGAATCCCGAATCCACGTCCCAACACTACTTTTTACATGGAAAATTTAGATGCTTTGAACTGAAGATGTCTTGCTTTTATTATTTACTTCACTGCAAATAACAGAAAAATATAAGCCCTTAGGTGATCATCAATCACTGAACAAAAATTGCAATTCCTAATCAACACTAACTCAGAATATTGAACTTCAAACCAGACTGAGACTCATTTTGATTGCGTAGACAGCACCTGTGTGCCTTCAGATTTCAAGATTTTTCAAAATTCCGGTTTCTTTCATCATATAAAGGAACCACTTTTGTGTGAACTATTACACAATAACAGGTTGCCAATATGTGTAATGCAAAACAGTAAGTACGTAGAAGTTTAGAGCATGAAAATTTTACTGAATTAGGAGGACTCCGTTACAATGTAGGAAGTGGCAAACTATATAATCATGAATAAACTAGAAAATTACACACAAGTAGAGGTCTATGCAGGTAATTATAATTTTCTTACCATTATTCTCTCTCAAGGAAAAGAGAAATGCTACTTTTTGGATGGTGCTTTGATTGAAATAGAATTGAAGTCAAGTCAAATGTTGGGTAAACTATACGAACCCCACCTTCATGGGAAGCGAGGGCAGGGTGCTACATACAGAAATTCACCCTTCAATGTAGTCCACGAGCGAAACCTGTGCAGGCATCTAGACCGTGACAAGTATTAGAGAGGACATTGGCTAGCTCTGATGAATGAGGAAACCCTCAATGAATCTCCGAAACACTTTTTGTGGATAACAGAAGACGTTCTGATACATGTATTTACAGCAGCTTAAAGAATAAAGATGCGAGCACTTTTAAAGCTCATTTCAAAACATCTTTTGTAGTGTTACAAATTCCAGAACGGTTTCACTAAATGCAATTTTCTTCCAGTATTTTGGTAAAAGGTGGTTTTTGGTTCTTTTTGAAAGTAGATCGCAATTTTTTGTCATCAGAACTTGAGAGCACTTATACATGTCGGTAATATAATTTAAAAAAAAGTAAACATCACAAAAGATAAAAGGGATAAAGCAATTAAAGGCTCCATAGGCACCACATATTCAAATACCTGGCCAAAATATATACCTTCCTAAATCATTAAGATGGCTTCCAAAACTACAACAGCCACTACTTTCTGTTTTTCCTTTGTACATTAAGTTGAACTTACCTCTAAGTTCCTCAGATAGTCATAGACATCATTGACATAGGGTGATACTAAGAATGGATTGTCGCGATCGTTGGCATCAATATCTTCAATTTCACTAAAAGCGGGTAAATCACACTGTTCATCTTCTGTCTTTTCGCTGGTGATTTTTAATTGTTCTAATTTGGGAAGTGAGATATTTTCAACGGATTTAAGGACCTGGAGCAAAAAACAAACTTCAATTAAAACATACACTAAATGAATGATTGCTTCAGAATAATTGAGACAAAACCAATCAGGGCAACAAAATAAATCGATAATCGATTGAGAAAACCACACTCAATTACAAATTGAGTCTTCCTGAAATTAAATTCGTTTCTCTATCTTACCTAGTATTCCCTGGCATTTTTTGGCAAAATTCCCTGAAAGTTAAAGACATACTTTGAAATTTTTTTCACGAAAAGTCTGTTGTTCCGAACGTCAAATCCATTTTAGAAATCCAATAAAGATGACTTCACAATTTTTCCCTGACTATTTCGTTATTTTCCCTGACATTTCCGGGTTTGGCTGCTTTATTATAATTCCCTAACATTTTTTGGTTTGAACTTCCCTGACTATAGCAACCCTGATGAAGATATGGGAGAGCTAAATCTAGGGAATTGGTTTGAAAAACTACAAATGTATGTCTCTTTCCGCAAAAAACTGTCAACTGAGACTATAAAGCTATAACCCACATCTACTACTGATCTTCAAAGAAGAAAACAGAAACAAGACCTTGAACTGAAAAACTTAATGCCTCCTTGTCATTTTTTTTTTCTTCTTTTCAATCTTTTTTTAGAAAAATCTGAAAGAATTTCAGGCAAATCTCTAGAAATTCAATTTCAAACACCCCACTTCCACTCTATTGAGAAAGCCTATCATATCTAAAGATACTTCAGAATCATTTATCTATGTTCCATTGGCGAGAAAGAGCAAAATAATGTATCCAAGAATCATGAGAAAATCCACATCATCTGAGTGTTCTTGAACATTACTACATTCAGTAAAATTCGACGGCTTGAAAATAACTGGAAGAAAAACAAATTACGAAGGCTGTCCTAAAAAATTCGAGTTGGCCTGTTTTGAATAAGCTATTCAAGATATATACAAATGGATTACAGGATCTTGTGGTTTATTTTATTAGTTTTAAACGAGCCCTTCTTGAGTTCATTTGGTGAGAAATTCACTAACCTGTGGTGATTTTTCAGCAATGTGTAAAAAATTCCCCTCCAGACTTTTTAGTCATTTTTTTACGCTTCAACTGTTGTTTAGAGGGATGCATGGATGTAAAAGAGGACCTTGGATACACTAAGCTTTTGACAACACAGACTTTGACCATTTTCATGATAACATTGTAAGAAAAGTTGTATCATTCAGGTACCAAGTTACAACATAATTCTTGATGTTCACTGTGTCCCTAAAGAGTGGAAGTTGGAGGGTGGGAAACAACTCAAAAATTCTAAAGAGTTTTATCTTACATGATGCCAAAAAATTTCTGTAAAAACATAAGTGCTTGATGAAATGAGCTTGATAGAAAGTTAATCCCTGAGGATCACAATTAGGGCAGAGGCGATCATGGCCTTACTGTTTACTTCAAAACTGAGAGTCATTGACATTGAACTCACACTGGGTTTTCTGGTTAAAGTACTGCTACCGGTCGGCAATCGGGAGGAGGGAACTGGTAAACCACTTGTTCTGCTTAGAGGCCTGGAGGTCGTGACGGAAGATGGTTGAGGCAGCTTGGCGCCAGCTCTGATGGGGTTGCGGCTGATGGAACAAAGTATGAAACACTTGTAAATATCGGAGGTAATTGCATACCCACTACAATATGAAAAAGAGAAATTCCTACTGATCTTAAAATCCAGGATACTTGAACTAGAACCAGCACAACTATATTACATTATGCAACTCGCATTATTTCCTCATATAATGTATTATTCAGGCAAATTATAAAGAGCAAAACTCTGTTTAGCAATTTTGTGGGTGAATTTCTACAGTCCAGGCAAGATTCAAAGAAGTTTTTCGACTTTCTGTTGTTCAATAATAAATCAAAAGAATATGACAAGAAAATTGGGCAAAATGAATTGTAGTTACGTTATTTTTGGATTGAGTCTTTTAGTTGAAATTAAATAGAAAAAGATTCTAGTTGAATAGGTAAAGTTGGAAGGAGGTTAAGGATGATGGCTTAATTATTCATTCTGAAAAATTGTTCATGACACAAACATTAGAGGCAAGCTACCTAATTATGAAAAAATAACAGAAGAAATAAAAAAAAAGGTACAATACCTATTCCTTAATTTGAGTGAGACTCACCTCAGATTAAGCACTGAAAATATTTGACAGTAGCATTCATTTTCTTGTCTTGGCAATCTAGTTAAACTTCCTTAGTGCTTCGCAAGCTCCTGGACAATTTTTTTAATTTCAAACGCGTTTAAATCAAGCACAATTATGACATCTAAGTTACACTCAATTCAGTCATATTCATGAAAGTGCTTCTGACTTAAAACCAACTTCTACAGAGCAGTTGTGCCGATAACAATACTTATCAGTATCACTACTTAACTATTGGAATAAAATCCTCTTTTTCATTTTTCTTTTCCTCATTCCACAAATGTAAAGCTTCAGTACAATATTCGCAGGATTCAATGGTTTGAAGGAAATAGGTAGAGCTTACACCTGGTCTTTTGGGCAAATACTTACGCAGTAACCAACGGCTTCCGCTCAGCTAGGACGGGTCTCTTGACAAGTTTTGATTTCTCTTTAGCTGCAGCTGCTGCATTCACTGCTGCTTGCTGTTGTGAGATGGTGTTTGTTGTTGTGACTAAGGCGGGCCTTTTCGTCAATCTTACTGCATCATTTTGAACATTCTTTCCCTCCAGTATTGTTGGAATATTTTCCTGGTTGGCTGTCCTCATTGTTTGCGTTGTCTAAAAAAAAAATAGCATATGATTAAGTATTACATAATTGAAGCAATTGGTAATATTCCTTCTAGTTCTACGAAAGCATGAAGAAAATTGATAAAGCAGAGGTACTCTTACCAGTGCACTTCTCCTGACTCGACCAGAAGAGTGGTTACTTCATGTCACTAAGTTTTATTACACAAGATGTGAGACAGCATTCGCATCAATTCATCCTCATTCTTAATGGTTGATAACTTGGATAATATATATGAGCGTTGATTCTCATGCTACCTAACTTAACTCTATTTTCTCAATCAAGAGATGGTACCATGAAAACTGAATTCACAGCATTTAATACAACTTTTCTGACACAATAGAAAAAAAACATCAAAAATTATGAGAAAAGTAAAAAAAGTGATTGAGGTACAAGACTGTATCCCACAATTTTTGAAGGATACAATAGGAAATAATTGATAAGTCCAATTTACATTCAAGTTATTGATTGGGATGTTATAGATTGAATTTCTAATGGAGGGAATACTGTCATAAAAGTGTACTCGGAAGGGAAAATTGACCCCTCAGAGTACACTACTTAGATTGGTCATTTACATGCTGCAGCTTTTTGTTAGAAATAGGATGGTGCTACCAGTATTCTCTTAAAGGACCTAAGCTGAAAACAACTCTCAAAGTTGAAGTGCTGAACTGAGGGGAGAATTCCTTACATTTTGAGAGGGTCCACAACATGATCTCGTTAGAGTTTTTGTCAGCTAAGTTGATGGTTGATTACTTTCGGTTTGCAAGCGGCAGTGACAAATATGGGCCTCTGCACGAATGGCGTTTGCTACTATCCACCTTACATAAGTCTAATGATCGTATCGTTAAAAAACTACTAATCGGTTCTGTTTCGCAACTTTCAATTTTAAGTGGTTGTGGTTTCTGTGTGGCTAAAAATTAAAGTGTTACAAGGTTTGAAAGTATAAAAAAATTTATCTAAGCTCGTGTTCCTGCTTCCGCGGAGTCTGATGTTTTCATGTGGATAGTAGTGACGCGAAAACACTTGCAAGCTGAAAGTAAACAAGCATCCACTTAGATGGCGACGCCTCTAATCTCTTCATGCACAGTTAGGGGTAAATACAAAATACATGCAGCGCCACACTAAGTGGCATCCAAACAAACGTATCTACCCTTTGTCTGCATGGAGGATTTGACAAGATACTGAGATAATTTTTGTATGGGTTAAGGGATCCTCTCTATTCTAGTCTCTCAAACTGAACAGTCAAGCAACTTTTAAATGAAAGGCATCAAAGCTTTAATGATTGAACAAGAGAGAATAAGAAATGCCTTATATGCTATCTACTTTACAACAATTATGGCGACACAAATTAAAATAAATTCAAACGGATTTGATGCATTGAACAACACATAGGCTTCACATGAGCAAGTTGGTCAGTCCAAAAATGCAAATGGCAGTGGTCTCGGGCCCAGAAGAATAAGCGGGGTATTACAAGCCTCTTCAAGGACCAAGATTTACGATTAAGAACCACACTTCAAATCTCTCAATGATGCTTCATAATTTACAATAATACAGCCATAACCTTAATGACTGACATTCATACAATGCAGTGTGATGGCAATAAGAAGTCCCTACTCCGTTGAGAAATATACCAACTAGTGGTGGCTAACTACTATGAATGTAACTGGTCAAGGCACTGAAATCTCTCCCGCTGGAAATTGGTGGACAAAAGGTTGCAAATAAGCGTATTTTGTATTAGTTTTCAAGTAAAGATGCGTAACGGAGCTAATGCCTTCGATGAGCATCTGGTGAAGTTTCCAGCACTTGACACATCATTGACAAAAGCATGCTGTTGTCTTTGATAGGCATTACTTGCTTTGCTCGTTCATTTAATTCCACATATCTCGGTTTTATTGCTCCCTAACAACTAGAGACAATGAAACTTAGGATGGATAGATAAGAGACAGGTTTCCCATGAGGGCCTACAGTATGAGAACAGTGGTTACCAGGCACTCGGGAGAGATCCTCCAATATGAAATAATCAGAGTTCCTAGTATGACAAGAGGATATTTCAGAAGATTAAATAGATCAGTACAGTAAAGTAGGAGGATGAATGACAAAAAGGGCTTCAATAATGGTCATCAACTGCCATGCTATCTCACTTGCAGTAGAGAACAGTGGACGAACATAATTTAAATAACTAGGTGGTAAATAGAGCTGAAAACTTCAGAAAGCCAGAGAGGGATTGGATTACAACGATACAGAAATGTAAATCTGAGAATAACTTACGCCAAAAGTACTTCTGATACGGGACGACATGGTGAAAAACCGTTGAAACTTCACTTTTGACAAATACTTCACTGCATTCGGTCAACGAATCAAAACCATTGACGTATAATACAATCTAGACCGCGCATTACGAAATTCAAGCGAGACGATAGGCAACCCAGCAACACACAGCAAGTGTACCGGCGAGACAATGGTGGAATTCGTGGAAATGCCAGTCTTGCCAGTGCCGTTGCCTGATACGGGTACACTTAGCTCGTATATCCGGCGGTATCAACTAGGCTGAAGGCGCGTCTTTACCCCCCTAGCTGTCTTACCTTCCCCGCCTAAAGTCGGGCCCAATGCGCGGTCTAGATTGTATTATACGTCAATGATCAAAACAGAGGAGACGCAGGAAATCCAGCCAATCACGATGAGCTTGTTTCGTCAGGTATGTCTCTGATTGGCTCCCTCTTCCCCACTAAAAATCTGTTGCCAACTGTGTAGACAATACACCAGAAGAACACAAAAATTGTTAGCGACACAGTCGAATTCTGATCTACCATCAGCCGAAATCCACAGTAAGGGAGTGAAGCGATTAGTTCTTTAAAATGTGCTTGAAAGTTAAATAACGTCAACCATGGGGCCGACACACAACAGTATCACAGCACAGTACGCTCTAATATTTCGTCCAATGGGAAAGGATCATTTACGATTGGCTGCACTTTTCATCGCAACAAGCCGCGCGCTTTTCGAAAGTCTACTACTGGAATGAATTTAGCTACAACGGCCGTCAACTACAATGAGCGCCGTATCCGGGTACGGCGCTCCGCCGCACACTGGGCTCGAGTGCCGCCAAATGCTACTCCACGCAAGCAGAGATGGAAAGTGAAATTTCACGTTTTGAAATTTCATGAAATTTCACAAGGCCCGAATAAATTTCAAAAAAATTGAAATTTGTTGATTTTTCAAAGAAATATTGTTACTAAGCCTCGGAAACGGTTCAGATGATCCTCCTGCTGATGCAGCAGAATATGGCCCACTAATGAGATGCTACACCCAAAGGAGGGGGCACAAGGGGGGTTTTAGAGAAAGTTAGCCCTAACCTAACCTCCAAACCAAATGTAAACAGACATGTACCCAGCAAATCGCGTGGCCGTGGACAAGATTATAAGAACATCACACCCTTTTAGAAACGTTTTACTTTAGTACTTTTATGTTTTCAGAGATGTGAATAATGGCGAAAAAGCCGAAAAGCCGGGGGGGGGGGGGTCTAAATTTCGTTAGAAGCTAAATAGTAAAGAAAATGCAAAATCTTAGCGAAGTTACCATAGGTTTATGCTGATTGGTCAGGAAGGTCCCTATTTGCTCTTTTTGTGTTTTTTATGTTCATAAGATATTCCACAAGTTTGTTCTTTGAGAAACAGTCAAAAGACTGACGACTTTTTCCTCAAACTTTTTTTGTTCTTACTTTTTTTGGTTCTTACTTTTCTTGTTCTTACTTTTTTTGGTTCTTACTTTTTTTGCTAATTACATTTCTTCTTGTCAAGCAGATTTCAATTGTTTCTATTCTTTCCTCTCTCTCCCTCTTTTTTGTTTTTTTAATGTTATGTACTAGCTCTGTCCAAAACTTGAAGAACCTGTTTAAACTAAAAATGTTTAGGTATGAGGTAAAGGCCCACAATCACTATTCATCTAAAAAAATCCATTTGGTTCATTAAAGTTGTAGTGTTTCTGAGTTACTATGAAACGACTGAAAGGCAGTAGGTAAATGTAGTCGCATATTGCTGCTACTTTTAAGAAGGTTCCTGAAACAATACCTTTATAAATCAAAATCACCTTGGGTATTTATGATTTAATTTTAATGAAGCTTTGAATTTTGCGACTTTGCCTCGAAAAGGTAAGAAGACAAAACTGAAAATCCTGTAGATTTTCTTGAGAACTTTCATTTTTTTCTAGAAGATGCTCAAAAAACGAAAAGAGTAAAAAGTGCAATATTAATTAGTGTTTACCAAGCATCCAAGGGTGCAGTCGCGTAGTATCCAAGAGGATAGAGAATCCATAACAACCCAAAAAAAAATGTTTTTACAAATAAAATTAAAGTTACTTACGTTTGGAATTACTTGATAAAATTCAAGATGATTGAAAACAATCCATTTTTGAAACTGAGATTTCCGACTCTAAAATATATATGTTGGCAGTATGGCACTGCTGAGAATAATCTTTATAGTATAATTGTTAAATATGTAGGACATTAAGTTGGTTCAGAAATATACCACTAAAAGTGCCGTTTTTTAGCATTACAATTTTTAGCATCAATTTCTCCAACGTTTCTCAAATAAAAGTCCCCCCCCCCTCATAAAAAAACTAGTATTTTCATGCCGATGCGTGGAGGAAATTGTTCTTGTGGTGGAGCGGAGGCACTCAAGTGTCAATGATGCATTACTTACGAAAATTAAGGACCCATGACTTACATAAGTGACATCTGACATGACACCGAAATCTTCGTGATAAAAAACTGAGCTGCTGGAAGAGTGGGTGGTGAGGTTAGGTTAGGTCAGGGGGGGCTGAAAAATCTCAATATCGAGAATCACCGTTTCTAGGCGTTTCTTGGCCTCTTGAATGTACCCTCAAAAGTTTCAATAAATTTCATGAAATTTCGTGAAATTTCATGAAATTTCATGAAATTTCACGCGTGAAATTTCACTCGAATAAATTTCATGAAATTTTCCATCTCTGCACGCAAGCGACCCCATTATCATTCGACTTAATAAAAGAGCAATTGGACGCCCTTCCCCATCACCCCCCCCCNCCCCCCCCCCCCCAATTTACACACACAAAAACCCAAACAATTACCAGCAAAAGATAGTTAATTTATTGAAGGGCTTCTCCGAATTATTTAATGGCCTTTAAATTATGATTTAAATTATGACATGAATTCTTACAAATCTCAAGAAAATGAAACACGTGAAACGAGTATCCCATAACCCCCCCCCCCCCCCCCCNCCCCCCCCCCCCCCCCCCCCCCCGAACGGGAGGAAATTATAAAGGGGCGGAAATCCACTCGGGAGTATTCTAGGAGTTCGAACAAGCGAAAAAAAAATCATGTCACCGCGGAAAATTCTTCACTTTTTAGGAACCCAGAAACTCCGTACCTACAATGATGAAATGAATTTTCCAAGGGAAAACTGTTGCATGTCCATTCGGTTTCGGGGCTGAAATCTACCTACGAGCATCCTAGGACTCCAACTAGGCAAAAAAAAACATCATGTCACCGCGGAAAATGGCGGAAAATTCTCTATTCCTCACGCCTACCTATATATTCGTTACCTACAATAATGAAATGATTTTTCCATGGGAAAACTGTTGCATGTCCATTCGGTTTCGGGGCTAAAATCTACTTACAAACTGTTGGCGCCGCTAGCGTCACCAATATTTAGCCTTCATTCCGTCAGCTAGGCAAGCCGCCCGCATCTCATGTCGCGCCGCGCGCCTAGTTCCGCCGCGGCCCGCCCGATCGCGCTGCGGGCTCTTTTTTCGCCCCTCCGACTTTCGTTTAAATATTTAAATTCTTTTCTTTATTATTTTGTCTGTTTCAATATGTAAAATTCATCTTTGATTACTTCTCTCCATAAATCCTAAATTATAACACTCACTGGTGCCTTCCTTCAAAACCTTTCTTAACTCAATCCACGCGTCCGCGTAATTCCTTTTCAAATCTAGTTTGACCGGTTGGCCCGTGTGCTGTATCTAAATTATGCTTCACCTACCTCGCTATGATAGCGTCTAGGGGTATGTACATTCGCCCCGCATATGTTCTTCCATGCGCTGAAACCATCCTTCTTAAACAGTTACGTCTTTTCGTTCAACCAAGTGAGTATTTATTCTAAATTCACCTTCTTTTCTCTATTATTTTCACTAATAATAAAATCATGCCAAATTCCGGCCTTCTGCCAATAAACAGTACTCTTTCGGTCTAAAAATTCATTCGTGTACTCGTGACCGGACACGATTGCCTGCGGTCCGGGTGCCGCGGATGAATTCTTCAAAATTTCAATAAAGTAAATGTTCGTCTCTCTCTTTAATTAGCTCCCATCGCGCTACTCGTGACCGGTCACGATTGCCTACGGTCCGGGTGCCGTGGACGACCCTTTCGGCTAATCTTTTTAGAAGACTTTCATTAAACTTTCACAAGCATCCTAGGACTCCAAGTAGGCAAAAAAAACATCACGTCACCGCGGAAAATCTCGGAAAATTCCTCACTTTTTAGGAACCCAGAAAATCACTACCTACGATGATAAAATGATTTTTCCAAGGGAAAACTGTTGCATGTCCATTCGGTTTCGGGGCAAAAATCTACTCATGAGCATCCTAGGAGTCCAAAAAACATCAAGTCACCGCGGAAAATCTCGGAAAATTCTCTATTCCTCACGCCTACTTATTGTTTGATGGAATCGTCCCAAATAATAGGCAATTTTTGTGGTTTCCATCTACTCTCCTGGACCATTTTTTACTAAAATCTGCTTCTATGATGTCTTATTAAAGGTCAATTAAATGTATTCGTATATTTGAATGGTGTCAAAATTTTCTGATTTGAAAGTAAATGAAACTCGAAAAATATTGTATTCCTTTGTGTAAATTTATTCATAATTTTAGGTGAAATCGAAGCTGATTTTAATGTTTTGCATTGTTAAATTTGTATCGTAAAGTGCACCATATGAAGAGCAGTAACATTCTTTTATCCAAACTTGGCTCTCAAATGCAAGTTAAGTTTGTTTGATGGAATCGTCCCAAATAATAGGCAATTTTTGTGGTTGCCATCTACTCTCCTGGACCATTTTTTACTAAAATCTGCTTCTATGATGTCTCATTAAAGGTCAATTAAATGTATTCGTATATTTGAATGGTGTCAAAATTTTCTGATTTGAAAGTAAATGAAACTTGAAAAATATTGTATTCCTCTGTGTAAATTTATTCATAATTTTAAGTGAAATACATAGGCTGTCCCAAAACAACTGAGAGTAAGTCTGTATTTCAGAAACAATAATACGATATTGAAACGCGGTTTGTGGGAGGTTGTAGCTCATATCCTTAGCTATCCAACGAGCCCAAGATTTGCTATTTTG